TGCCCAAATACCCATGCACGCACATCTGGAGACCAGTCCCTTGAGGTTGTCCATACAACCACCAGAGGAATCTGTGTAGGACCCAGCACTGACCAAGTCACTCCCTTGGTTAAAACATTTCAGACCTTTCAAACCTTCCACCTCCTTGCCTGGGGGCAGCCCAGGGGTGGAATGCCCTGGCCGCTGGGCCACAGCAGGCCCTGCTGTCTGCCTCCCTGGGCCCGGGGCTCTACTCTCTCATCGCTGGCTCGTAAGTCCTTTCCTCGGCTCCCACCCCGGCCCCTACCCAAGGCCACCCAGAACCCTCTTTGTCCTCTAGTCTTCTGAGACCCTGGGTCCTCGCCTCCCCGATTTCTCATGGAGACTCATGTCCAGAGACCGTATGCTGTGCCTGCCTTCTCCGCAGAGGGCTGGAGGTTAGAGCATAGTCATGGCTTCTGATTCCAGTAAACGCTCAAGGAAAAATGATAGGAATACAATGACTTTCTGACTGCCTTGCTTTACCGAGGGACAGGAACTGGCAGGACCCCCGTAACTCTGAGCTGAGCCTTGGGGCTCCAGGAAGAGATTTGCCACCCTGTGGTGGCCCCTGATCTGTAGCTCTGTCTGGCGTCTTCCTCCTGTGTGACCCTTCGGGAAGGAGCAGGTTTAACCCTCCTGCTAGCTTCTTGTTTCTGCTTTTTAAAAATGACATTTAGAAGGTCGGGTTTTTTCCTGTTTCAAACAAAATACATGTTTATTGAGGAAAACTCAGTGAAACAGAGGAACAAAAAATAATCTCATTTTATAACCTGCATTTTCATGTACTATATCCTGGGCATTTCCCAGACCACTAAATATTTCTTCAACATGTCTTTATTTTATTTTGTTTTGTTTTATTTTTTGAGACGGAGTTTTACTCTGTTGCCTAGGCTGGAGTACAGTGGCACGATCTCATCTCACTGCAACCTCTGCCTCCCTGGTTCATGCGATTGTCTTGCCTCAGCCTCCCAAATAGCTGGGATTACAGGCGTCTGCCACCACGCCTGGCTAATTTTTGTATTTTTGGTAGAGATAGGGTTTCACCATGTTGGCCAGACTGGTCTCAAACTCCTGACCTCAAGCGATCTGCCCACCTTGGCCTCCCAAAGTGCTAGGATTACTACACCAGGCCCACATGTCATTATTTTAAATGATTACATCAGATTTTATCTGATGGACATACATGCATTTTTTAATATTCCCATTGTTGGACCCTTACATGAGTTCCAATTTTTTCTAGGCGAATATCCACATAGGCAAGACTTAGAAGAAATTCTTATTATTTCCTTAGGATAAATTTCTAAAAATGGGAGCAGTGGGCCAAAGGGCATGTACATCTTTTAGGTTTTTCATATAAATTGCCAATTTATATTCCCACAAGAAGGGTTTGAGAGTATCTGTTTCCCAAGCCCTTTGCTGACAGCTACATTAGTTCTTAGGCTACAGTTTCTTTACTCATGGGAATCAAAAGTTGCTGTCATTAGCTCCCTACTATGTGTAAGATCTCTACCAGGAGATAGAACAGAGAATTTGAATGCCCCCTTCCTTTTTTTTTTTCCCCCCCTTGAGACAGGGTCTCACTCTGTTGCCCAGGCTGGAGTGCAGTGGCTTGATCATGGCTCACTGCAGCCTCAACCTCCCCAGGCTCTGGTGATCCTCCCATTTCAGCCTCCCAAGCAGCTGGGAATTCAGGCATACACTACCGCATCCAGCTAATTTTTATATTTTTTTGTAGATTATGGGGTTTCCCCATGTTGCCCAAGCTGGTCTCAAACTCCTGTGATCCTTCCACCTTGACCTCCTAAAGTGCTGGGATTACCGGCGTGAGCCTCCATACCCAGCCTCTATTTCTTTCTTGACTTGGGCTCCTCCTATTCTGCTGCCTGTGGCATCCTGAGAGGAAGCTGTTGTCCTTCTTCAGGTGGAGGAAATAGTAAAGAGACTAATAAATTGGTAGCCTGCACCACAGGACTTTATAAGAAACCTTTTGCGTCTTTGGATCTTCTAATAAATGAAGGTGCAGCACTGCTTTTTGACACACAGGTACATTTGTGTATTGGACACATTTCCCTTCCAAATGTTTAACTCCACTTTACAAAGCTTTATTTGGAGCATGTGCTAGATTCAAGGCTCTACATTAGAGAACCCAGACCCCAATGAACTTACAGTTGATAGATATACAAAAGTAAGATAGCGCTAAGCATGGCAGCCTATGATCAGTGTAACCAGGGGCTTCCGAGGAGATTACATCTGAGGACTTGTTGAGCAGCAACTCAATTCAGAATACCTTCACTTGTGCTGTCGTTACGGGTTGATGTGGCATAAAAGCGCCAGGACGCCCATAGCTCTGGGCTCCTCTACCTTCTAACTATGTAGCTTGGGTAAGTTACCCCTTCTGAGCCCTATTTCTTCACCTATAAAAGCAGGATAATCCCATTTACCTTGTGATCATTGTGGGAACTAAGTGTGAGAATGAAGGTCAAGGGTCTGGAAGAGCGCAGGGGTGGGCCGTCCACACAGGGAAGCTCTGCTTTTTAGCAGGCGCTCTCTCCGTTTTGCAAATTGAGGTTCAATTTGCACAGTGCTGTGACATTTTTCAAAGCTTCCTCATATCTCATTTCACCCGTTCTCCCAGTAGCTTTGACGTTTGCCAAGCAGGTGGTAGTCTCCCATTGCAAAACTAAGGCAATAGGTGCAGAGACGTTGAGTGAATTGGAAAGATTAGACAACTAGTTAATGGGAAAAACAAAACTATCGTGAACTAAGACACTTTTTCCAAAACTACTACGTGAATTGTTCTTTTTTTTCTAAATAGCTATTACCTTAGAGTTTTCTATTAATACCAGTATTTTCTTACCATATTACTTTGCAGCTTCATTTTTTTTTTCAGCCAAACACAAACAGGCACACACACCCATGCATAAAATTTTACCTGAACCAAAAGTGAATTTGTTCATGTTTGACCTTATTCACTCTCTCATATCTATCCTGTAGGATCTTCACCTGGATCCAAAATGCCCCTTTTGCCCATTGTTGTTTTCTAGCACAGATGGAACCCCTCCCTGTCTTTTTCCACTTGACCTGAGCACCTTTGGACAGCTCCTTTCCAAAAGAGCTGTTTCTGTTTAGCCATCGACAACCTCTTTCATCACTGAACCTCAGCCTGGCTGAGACTGGCTGATCAAACGTGGGCCACTTGATCCAAGCCCTCCCTGTAAAGCCAAGAGGTCATCATCTCCCTTTGTTGTTTACCAAGCAGTACAGATTCCTCAGGTCTGGCCTCTACAGGCAGCCTTGATTCCTTAGGAAAGGAGGCCAGCTGGTAGGCAGCTAGATGTGTGAGGTCAAATATTGGTGGTGGAGGGTAGGTTGTATAATTTCCATAATTTACTGAATGGCTAATAATGTTCTTGACACTCAGTTGTATTATCTGTCTCCTTTAATCTTCATGCTACCATATGCCCATTTCACAGATGAGGAAACTGAGTCTTAGAGATGTATATAAGTTTCTTCTTTAATGCATTATTTTTCAATAAGGGACCACTTTCCTCCATGTCCCACCATTCTCTCTTAGCTGAGAAGTTAGGAGCCACCAAGTATCAAGTTTCTCATGTGCAGAATTTAATCAGTACTAAGGGGATATGTTTTGTTGACCGAAGTATTTGCTTTGCAATGAAAATAATTGGAACTTGTGTTCATTTTATAATTCTGGCTGAGTTATTTTTATTTGGTAAGAAAAATGATTATTTAAATATTTATTTGTACATGTATTCTCCGCCTGGTTCCAATGAAGACTGAAGCAACTTCCTTGACTTGAGTAAAACACGGGACCCTTGATGCATGAGTGGCCCCATCCATGCTCCAAATGACCCGTGTGTATAGTCAGCTGCCGGCTTCAGCCACCAGAGCCGTGACCTGCCTTTTGCACATTGGGTTTTCCTGATAATTTGACTCCAGTCATCGGAAGCACAAATTAAATGTAAATTTCTGGATTTAAAAAGATTTATTTGGTCCCTAAATGTTTCCCAAGTCATAGAGTGCTGATTCAGACTTCAATCTTTTTATTTTCTGCCAGAAAGATTAGGGGTAGGAAGAGGTAGGAACAAACACATCTTATTCACAAACAGCAACATCATCAGTAAACAAATGTGGAAAAAGTGTCCATACTCATAATTAAAGTAATGCAAATTAAAGCAACAATGAAGTCGAACTTTTCACCTATTAAATTAGCGATACATTTTAAAAATGATACAGCTCACAAATACCGTGAAACTGGTAATGCATCCATTGTTGGTAGTTGGTGTAAACTGGAAAGCAATTTGATAGAATGAATAAAAAGCCTTGAAAATGTTTATATCTGTTGACCTAGTAATTTCATTCCTGGGGATTTCCATAAAAAGAAATAATATGAAAGAAAGAAAAACTGCAGTATTTATCACTGGCATTTCAAATGTTTAAAAAAATTAGAAAGAACCCTAAATGCCCAATAATAGTGGAATACTGAATTGTGTTATATTAAATTATTGTATATTCGCTCTGTGAAATATGCATTAGTAAAATTATTTTTGTAATGACTTTGTAGCAACATGAAAATGCTTGTAATACATTGGGAAAAGCAGGATATAAAATTATGCATGAGCTGTGATTGCAAGTAATTTTTAAATGTCTGCATGTGGACAAAGTGAATATATAAAAATGAAAATAGCCGCGTAGGAGAATAAGATGAACAATAATAATTGTTTTCCCCACTGTTGTGAATTATTATGTTATCTTTATAGTTTAACATGGATGGTTTGGGTTCCTCTAGTTCTGAAAAGTCAAAGAGCCAAATTAGCCCTCCATTCCCCCCATCTTCATCAGGAGGACAGGCTTAGAATGTCACAGAGAGAGTCATGTGGCAGGCCTCTTCCTTGTGGGGTGAGAGGGAACACAGGTGCCGGAACCCCAATGCCAACCCTCGACTCTCCTTCTCCCTGCAGGACATTGCTGAGAACGGCTGCGCCCCCACCCCGGAAGAGCAGCTGCCAAAGACTGCACCGTCCCCCCTGGTGGAAGCCAAGGACCCCAAGCTCCGAGAAGACCGGCGGCCAATCACAGTCCACTTCGGACAGGTGTGTACCCTGGCCCTCCTACCTGTCCATTTGGGGTTTTTTTATTTTCGTTTTTAGCAGCAGCTGTAGCACATGCAGCAGACGGTGTTTCATTTCAGTTCTCTTTGGCAGTGCGGCTCCATGGAGGTTTTCACATCTTTAAATGTTTATTTGGTGCAAACATGTTTTGCAGGCAAATTTTCAAAAATTTTGAGGAGACAGCACGGCTGAGGTCAGAAATGAGCGGGACTGTTGAGTGAAGTCATTAAATGCACTGCTGCCTCCCTTACTCCAAGGCACTCTGCTTAAGGTGCCTCTGTTAGCTAAGCATCTCATTAGAACACTTTAGCATCCCGGGCCCTTCTTTGCACACTTCAAATAAAAGGCAACAAGCGAAGTCTTAAAAAAAAAAAAAATCAATTAGGAGTTCTTTATTAATGTACTTCCTGAAAATCAATATCAGGAGTCGTGCTTCTGAGAGTAAACACCCGCACTACAATTCTAGAGATTCAGTTTTTTAAGCAACTGTTTTCAACTACCTGAGCATTTGAAAAATTGTCTATTTTTTTTCCCTTAAGTAAAACATTGCAGTCTGTATAGAAACTAAAATTTTGTATCCCCTTCCTACTTGTAATTATATTTTTGGTTAAAAAGGATTGTGTACCCTTTCCTACATCTCTTGAATTGACTTCTGGTTAGTGGAGAGGTCTATGAGAAGTGGCTCTTTTGGCAAGATATGGCTGTAACAAGAGTTTGCAAGGTTATTTATTTTTAAATCACCTGATTCTGTAGCCATTTATTAGATGACGCATGATTAAGAGTCTTTATGATTTTTATCTTAAATGTGATTGCTATTTCACCACGTGTAAAGGACCTAGAAGCCTACATTCCTGTTTTTAACAGACCTTTATCAAGTGCCTACTATGCACCAGGCATTGAGCTATTCAGAAATGAACGAAACTAAGAAAATTCTTGCTCTAGGTTATTACTGTAAGGGGTGAGTTGGTTGGAACATAAAAGTCAGTCTTCTCTAATCAATATTTTCAGATAATATATGTTTATACATCTTTAACTTGGGGAGGTTCTTCCCTTTTCTGATTTTATACTTAAAAGGATGTTATAAAAATTGAAATGAAATGCAAGGAAGAAGAATCCACAGGGTGATACTCATTTAGTTAATGAGTATTTTCAAATTGCACTGGTGTCTGTTCCCCTGAAGAGCTGCCTCCCCCCAGCCCCAGGCGCAGGCCCTGTTGGAGAAATCCGCACCCCAGTTCCCTGGCTGTGTTCACTGAAAGCGCAGCCCCTGGTTGTCGCCAGCGTGGCATTCCAGAGTCAGCTTCCTGCTTTCCTTTGTCCTCATTCCTGCACACACCAACCTTCCCATGAAAGGAGCCCCTCACTGGAGTTTGGAGCCCATTACAGAGAAAGAGGGGGCGGGGGAGAGGGATTTCATGGTGTTAAACATTCCATTTTCGAAACACAAAAAAAGGAGGCCCTATTTGAAATGGAGAAAGACCTTCTTTCCATTTCAGCCAGAAGTAGAGATTCTTTAATGTCATTCCCAGCTAAATGCAGAATAAGAGTATGTGTGTGTGCACGGGTGGGGATAAACAATGAAAAAAGCCACCCCAAACTCTGTTGAAATAAGAGCTGTCTGTGCCTTCACCGGTCTGCAAACTGGAGAGGATGAAAGTGGCTTTTTTTCCCCGTTTGTCACTTCCCTCACGTGGCTGCCAGCATTATGCAAGTGTACAGGAAGGCAGGATTTTTTTTTTTTTTTTAATGCATGCATGCGGATTAAGGTCAAGCCCCTAGTATCAGCCATGCAGCAGACTCTCCCTTCCAGCTGCAGCCGCAGAGCCTACCCACAGCCGCGAGATGCCTTAATTGAGACGTGCTGTCAAAGTGACAAACACATTTGCATACAGTCTACACTCTATTTATTTTCTCTGGAAAGGTCTACAGTCTGCTGTTGGTTGAACATTCTTAATCAGTTTGCTGTAAGTGAACTGCCAGCTAGCTCACTTGTGCCGGCCCCTTCTTCATTAGGTGACAGATTAGCTGCAGGGGGAGGGGGGTTGAGCCAGGGAAACCACAGACCCCTTTCTTTTAACTCTTTCCAGCTTTGCCCTCATGGTACGTTGTCCTTGAGTCTTTTCCCGGGTCCCTGGTTTGATGGGCTGTTGACCGTAACAAGTACCGTTTCTAGAGCACCTACTGCCGGCAGGAATGAGTTTTAAGGACTCGATATTCTTCCCAAAGAACAGTCTCTTGAGTTTCATTTCAAAAGTTTTTACCACGCTCTCTTATCATCTATACTATTTTTTTTACTTGATAGTTTTATTTAAACAAGACTCAGACCTGACATCTATAGCATCTTAGCCTCATCTTCAGAGATGCCATTGGTGGAATTACAGGCTTAATATACTAGTACAAGTTTTTTCTAACATATAAAACAATTTGAAGTGTTTCTCTATGGATCACCTAATGCACTCACATAATCCTAATGGTATATGTTCTCGTTTTGGAAACCAACAGACTCCTCGGTATCTTTTTTGTTGTCTCCACCATATCCCTTTGAGGAAGGGACCATTAGCCGTATTTTATTGACCCAGAGCTGGAGCTTACAGACATGAAAGAACCTGCCCAGGGCCACTTCACCAGCTTGGAAACCCAAGCCCAGACACCTCACCTCGAGCCCACACCAGCTCTCAAACCAAGCAGGGACTGCATGTGATATGTCTATTAAAGCTGCTGTACCCCGCCCTGGCAAAATAATCTTAACCAGCCAGAGAGAGCACCTATTTTAACCTCAAAAAATATCCTTGCCTTGGGTCTGTGTTTCTGTGGATTTCATTCTTTAAGAACACTTAGCTTTCCAGTGGGGATGGAAACCGTTGAGACTGTTGCCTTCATCTCTCCACCCGGCAAAGCCGGTGCCTGTGCAGCTAGCCAGGGCAGCTCCACAGAGACCTCTGACAACAGCTCTGCAGCGGGGGCTGGCAAGAGGGGAGCTTAGTGTTGAGGCAAGAGCTGCTACTACCAGGGGAGAGAAGGTGCTGCCTTGCCCTCCTCTCAGTGGAGCGTTCCTCCTTCCAGGCTGTGATCATTCCTCCATTTAAGTATGCATCTATTCACCTGTCTATGGAGACCTACCATGTGTAAGATGCCATGTGTAAGATGAATAAGTTCTCAGTCCCCACCATTGTGGGGCATATTGATGAGACAGACCAGCAGATGGGCAGGCCCAATTGGAGCGATAAAGACAATGAGGGAAGTAGGCTTCAAGCACTCCCAGGGCCCCACAGAGGCTCCCTCTTCATCTCCAGGCCCACTTCATAGTCATAGTCACTTCATAATCAGTCATAGTCCACCTCATCGTCCCAACTTGGACACTATAATTAAAAAATATTTTGTCAATAGCCTGAACAACATGGTGAAACCCCGTCTCTACTAAAAATATAAAAATTAGCCGGGTGTCATGGCGGGCACCTGTAATCCCAGCTGCTCGGAAGGCTGAGGCATGAGAATTGCTTGAACCCAGGAGGCAGAGGTTGCAATGAGCTGAGATCGTACCACTGCACTCCAGCCTGGGTGACAGAGCGAGACCCTGTCTCAAAAAAAAAAAAAAAAAAAGGATATTTTGTCAACAAACCGAACTTGCTAATAATTCATTTGTTTTCTAAAGCAGACATGTTAGGCCGCTCAGCTTGTCAGAGCAAAGTAAATAGGTTTTTAGTTAGCCTCTGCCTCCTGATCATGTAGTTTCTTTTAGAATTCAAAAGTACCAACTTGAGAATGTCTATCCCTGCCTTGGAGGATGTTGCAGTTTAGAGAGGCTTTAAATTACTGTGTTTCCCCTTCTCAAGTTTAGTATCTTTTGGGAAACAAAGCCCAGGGGACAGTCAAATGAGATAAAAGTGTTTATTGATAAACCTGAAAGGAGAATATTGCATTAGACCTGAGGGCAAATGTTGCAAACACTTCACCTGAGAATGTGAAGACTGCGTTCCTCCACTTGGTGTAAATGGACAATGGCAGGTGTCTCCAGCATGGAGCTGCCCGTCAACTCCTAGCGAGGAGGAGCTGCGGGAGGGCCTTGCGCTGGCTGCTCCCCAGGAGAGAGCTGGAAGGGGTGATGCAGCTTAGTTCCTTCTCCCAGACTCTCCCGGAGGGCATTCCTCCTCCTCCTCTGGGCAGGATTGAACAACAGGGTGCCTGGCCAAGCCAAGGATTCCCGCCGTGGATTTCTCTCCTAGGGTAGGAAATGGAAGCTCCTCCTTCCCACAGCTATAGAAGGAGTGAGGGAGCAGTGTCCTCCCCAGCAGCCCTGGACACCCCTTGGTTAGAATAGCTGGCCTTGGCCCGCTTCCCTCCTGAGGACCCCTGTGGAAACTGCTCTGCTCCCTACACTTAATAAAACGAGTGAGCCATAGATGCTTTCACATCCGTGGGCGTTGACTTGAGATTTTGCCATCAGCAGGTGAGGAAGAAGGCATTTTACCCATCGTACACATGAGGAGGCACGCTGGGACAGCGTTGCTGGAATGAGTAGCTAATTCTTACTCCAAAGCCAACAGCAGCACCTCTGCTTCTCTTGGCTGTGTGCAGCTCTCCCTCCTTGCTAGGAGAATGGCCTGATTGTGGAGTTCAGTGACACCAGATCCTAGTCCTAGGTGCAGATGGCCAAGGCTCTAGGCCTTGGCCGAGATTGAGGCTTCCCTGAGAATATCACAGCAAACCCCTTCCAGAGCCCCCTTCTTTGTGTTTCCCCCAAATGATTGATCCTGCAAACAAAGTAGTTGCCTGCCTTCCAATCTGATAGATTCCAAAAAACGTGTATTGAAAGGTGCTGCCTCTATTCTTCTCCCATCTGAACAAAGGTTTCTAAACCTCTTTAATGTAAAGTTTGAAAAGCTGGTTAAACCAAAACCAAGCACCACTGTGGCTTTCAGAGAACTGCGGCAGAGAGGTCTGGATAGCAGCCCAGGAAGTTCTTGGGATGTGGTTGCCGGCTT